CGAGCCATGGGGCCAGCTGCCCCAGTTGACCCCAGAGGCTAAGTTTTGCAGATCGGGGCCTCCCCGTGTTCTTGTTCTCGCCCTCGGCTCTGCCTCTGGGTGGTGTTAGTGCAGGCAGCTCCTCCGGGCTGGTGTTGCTGTAGTGGGAGCCATGAGCGTGACAATTGCTTTCCAGGTTTTTAATGTGTGCCACATATGGAAGACCCCTGGTTGTATCTTGGGAGCTCTGACAAGCCCATGCTTTTGGCAGTAAGTGTTGTAACAGCTGTGATGAGGTAGGTTTCCTCGCTGAGCGTTGCGTGGGGCTTCCCATAAATGCCACAGCGAAGGTCGTGTGAGGGCACTGGTCCTGGGAGGGCCTGACGCTGGGGCAGAGGATGGATCCTGATGCTGTTGGGCCTTCTCCACCCGCTCCTCCTGCCATGCTTGCTCTCTCCTCTTTTTAGGCCACTAGTTCCTTGCCAGAGAGTTTGACCACAGAGAGTCGCCAAGATAGCTGGGCCAGGAAGAAAACGTCGCACCCCTGACCCAGACTCCATTACCGACCCTGGTGGGCCGTTTGTGTCCTCCAAACGGCTGAAAATGTCCAGCAGCACCAATGCCCCTGGCCAGAGGAGAGTGTCTCGGGGCTTGGACGATGCCACCAACAAGAAGAAGCAGAAGGATCGAGCCAACCAGGAGAGCAAGGAAGGTGAGAGCCCCTCGGCAGTGCTGTGGCGAGTAGGTCCGTGGTTTCTCAGCCCGGCAGGATGGGAGCTTCGCAGCCATCTGCTGCAGGATAAGCAGATTTAAATAATCGCTTCCTGCAGCTGATGGTAACCCGTGTGATGTGGGATCCTCTTCGGCACAGTGTCCTCTTTGGACCTGTAACCTCCTTCCTTCGGGCGCTACTTAGCCCCAGCTATATGAGGAAGGTCGGACCTGTGGCTTTGTTAGCTTAAGTCTGGAGTTGGCCTCGGTGGTTGTTTCTAGACTCTGCTTTTGGCTGGGGCTGGGCTGCCCTGGTCCAGAGGGAGTGAGACTGAAGCCTGCAGGTGCTCTTGCCGCTGGAGGTGGTGCTGCTTCCCCGCTGCAAGGCATCACCAGGTGCTGACAGCAGTGTGTGAGGCCTGCGGGTGGGGCTGGTGCCTTAGCTTCTGTGTCAGGGCAAGGTGTGGCTCAAGTGAAGTAGTTGCTGCTGTTCCCTGTGTACCTGCTGGGTATCCAGGTGACAAAAACGATGCTTCGGGTGCAGGGAATGCCTGTGGGCAGGATGCAGGCAAGAGTTCCTGCGGTCCTGGAAAATTGCTTGATTTCTGTGCCTGCTCCGTTGCAACTGTTGTAACCTCAAAATCGCAGGGTGTTTTCAGGCCAAGATAGACGAGCACTTGCTGAGGTCTGGAACAGCCAGCTGCAGTCCCCAGCGTGAAACCCCATGGTGCAGAGCACGCAGCATTGCGCGTTCTCTCTCGCATGGGAGTTGTGCTTTGTCTCTGGTAAGGCCTGACCCTCCGCACCTTCTGACACGGGGCCTCCTGCCTTCCCAGGGCTGTGCTGCCTCCATCCCCTCTGTGCAGGGGTGGTGAGGGGCTGGAGCAAGCTGTAGATCCTCCAGGCGGTGCAGCTGCAGCGCTTCTCACACTGCCAGCCCCACCAGCACCTTTGCACCAGTGATTGCAGTGGTCAGCAGCGGTTTCCTACTGGTTTGTAGCTAGTTAAGGCAGGCAGCGATGGCCCTCTGAGCGCTGCTCTGGGTTGGAGACCACAGTTCCCATTACCACTGGTTTTCTGCTCCAGGACAAGGTGCTGTCACTTTACACCCCTTGCCTGACTGCCCTGTGGGGGTGGAGCAGGCCCTGAAACACTTCTGGCACTTGGAGGTAATCCTGCAGGGATTAGGTGTCAGATTGATTTGGTGCCCCAGCCTGATCTGGAAGGAAGTTTCAGCCGTGGACGTTGGCAGCTTGGGCAAGAATGGGAATGTTAAAGTGCAGCTGGGCCGTGTGGTTCTCTCATTACAGCAGAATTGGTGTGAGTGAGCCCAGACTTCAGGTTCTCCTTGTCCTGTCAAGGCAGGACTCCTCTGGACGGCTGGAAGCTGAGGGCCTGGTGCGGTGAGCAGGGGCACACAGCCTGGTTACCACAAACTCCACACTGAGACATGCCTCAAAGCAGCACTGTCTGCGCGGTGCAGTAATGTTGTGCTGGTTAGACTGGGATGTGATGGCATGGCCCAGCTGTCCTGGGGGCTGACTTGCTGTGGTGCTGCAGGCAGGGCACTGGGAAAGGAAGAGGTGTGAGGAAGCAGAGGAGGGAAATGAGCAACACATGCAGGATGAAAGGCCTGGACAGAGGTTCAGGGAAGAAGGAAGTGATGTGTGAAATTTTGGGCATCATTGTGCCAGCCCATGTTCTGAGGTGACAGAATGACAGACCTGCCTGCGCTCTGCTTCTCTGCCCACCAGTGTCTCGCCCTGAGCTCGAGCAGGCTGAGACTGCCCAGGAGAAGGACTCAGAGGAGGGTAAGTCAAGGTGTGCACCGGCTGTCAGTGTGTGGCCGTGGAGTGCCCTTGCTGAGGGATCTGAAGCTCTCACCTTGTCGTTGTCCCATGCTCTGGCATCGAGCAGAACTAACCTGAGTGCTCATTGCCACAGCGTTTGTCTTAACAGGATGTGGCCTTCCCAGGTGCGGAGAAGGGTGCACATGTCTGGGAAGGGCTATCTGCAAGGGAGAGGCCCTGGGCACGTGGCAGGCTGCTTCTGAGTCGGGTGTCACCGTGCCACTGAGCACAGTCCTGGGATGTTGTGCTACCAGCATCTGTCCTGCTTGTTTCTGAGCAGGGAGCTGGGCTGGGGAAGTCCATGTCACCCAGGGGGTGCTGCTGGCTGGTTACGGCCTTGGTCCAGGCCTGTTTTGAGGGCAGATGAAGTAGGACACCCTTGCGCCACAAAGGGCAGAATGAACTTGATTGAAATTAAGGTGATTGAAATCATCTTTTTGCCTTGAAGACTTCAGGACACCATAGGGCCAAACCTGGAACCTGGCAGGCACCTCATGGGGGTGACACTGCCACACCATTTTCACCTGAGGTGTGATCTTCTTGCCCGACTGACCTGCCCGCTCGTGTTTCAGCTGTGTTACCAGTGCTCTCCTGGCAGGAGTACAGTGCTTCGGTGATGGCAGCTGGACTGCTTGGTTTGAACCTGCAAAGGGGAAGTGGCAATTTCTGGTTGTGGTCAGAGTCCACTTGAATTCCCCCAGAGTAATTCTGTGGCTTCCTCGTTCCCTGGGAAAGCAGCAATTGCTTTGTAGTTGGCAGGAGCCACCTCTTCTTCCCAGTCGCTGCTGCTGCACGTGATGGGGCCAAGGGCAGCGCTGCCTCTCTGATCTCTCTGGTTCTCACCAGGATTCACCTGCCCTCCTCCAACCTACACTCTTGTTTGTGGCCAGGCTGATGAGAGCAGGTCGTGAGCGTCCTGTTTAATTCGCATGATCTGTGCTCCCTGCATTGACCTCTTTGAACTGAGCATGCGTTCAGGCTCGTACTGCTCCCCAGCCAGGGAGTGGGCACCACAGGCTTGTGCCCTGAGTGGGTGACACTTCCCTCCCTCTTCCTAGAGCTGCTGCTGGACTGGAAGCAGAACGCTGACGAGATCATCGTCAAGCTGAACTTGGGCAGTGGAGCTCTGAAGGTGGAGGATGTGGATGCTGCTTTCACCGACACAGACTGTGTGGTCAAACTACCAGGTATGGGGAACGGAGTGACTGCCGCAAGTGTTTCTCCAGCAGGGCTTGGCACAGCTGTGGGCTAGACGTGGGGCTGATCCAGGCAGGCATAAAACCTTTCCTTCAGAGGCAATGCCCTGCTGTCAGCTGGCACAGGTTCAGCCAGCAGGCAGGGCTGATAGGAGAGCAGTGTAAAAGAAGCAGGCTGTAGAGCTGGGGAGGACAGGAGCTGGCCTCTGCGCCAAGTGAACAAGTGCCCACTGCTGTACTGGCACATCCCTGTCCCCCGCTCGCTGGGATGACTGTGTCGGCCCTGGGTATCCCTTGGAAAAGCGACTGTGCCCCTGAGGGCAGGGAGGCCCAGGGCCTTCCCTCTGGAAAGGAGGCCACCCAGATGTACAAAGCAAATCCAGGGAAGCTGGCTGAAGCCCTGAAGGCTCCTGGGGTATGGTGGCAGCCTGCCTGTGGCCTCCTTGGCCCTGGATGAGTGCTCCCTTGATCCTTGGGACAGGTGAGAGGGGGCTGTGGGTTAGGTGACAGCTGCCTGGAGCGCTGCCTGAGGTGCAATCCTTCTCTACTTGCAGACGGGCGCCAGTGGAGCTGTCAGTTCTACGAGGAGATCGAGAGCTCCTGCAGCAAGGTCCAGTGCAAGAAGGGCAACTTTCTACAGCTTGTGCTTCAGAAGAAGATCCCACTCCATACCTGGTCTTCGCTTCTGGTGAGGAGGGGAGGATCTGCCTTTTGAGGGAGCTTACGGAGCCCGAGGGAGCTGGGATGAGGTTTTCACTCACTGCTCTTGTGCTGCCCAGGGAGCATTGTGGGGCACTTCCTGCATCCACGTGCTGCATGAGGGCAGTGAGCCAGCTGCCTCTGTTGCAGGGAGGGGAGTGTCATTGTACCCCTGTTCCTGCCTGCTACATAGTCACCAGGTTCTGGAGCAGAGCCCCGGCACGCTCTGGGAAGGGGGAGTGAGAGTGAAGGACTGGCACAGAGCGTGAGAGGTGCTGCTGCCTGGATACCTTCCCACTGTGCTGCACTACTTTTCACAGAAGAGAAGGAAAGACGGATCCAAAGAGCTGGCCAAAGGGGCCACATGCTGGGAGAACGGGAAGGAGAAGGCTGCTTCTGCAGAGCTGGCCCTGGAAGAGCCTAGGGCTGAAGGCATAGACCTGCCGAGGTCCCGGCGAGAGCCCTCCAACCCCAAGCGCGCTCCAGGAAGAAGTGAGGCCCTGGGAGGGAAAAGCCCAGCCAGCCCAGGGACACAGAGCGGCCCCAGCGCTAAGCGGGCAGTATACCTCAAAGTGGCTCCCACGGAAGAGGAGCCGAATGCCAGAGTCGCTGGAACTGTGGAGCCCAGCAAAGGGCACAGCGGGAGGGCAGGCAGCCGCCGCAATGGCAGAGCCAGCCAGGTCGATACACCCACAGCCCTTGCGGACCTTGCACCACCACTGGAGAAGGTACTGAGGACGTAGCTGAATGGGACACCCCTGCTCCCTCTGCCCCCGTGCAGGGGATGCTGCTCGCACTGGGACCTGTCCCTGATAATGAGATGGGCTCTGGGGTTCTGTGGGTGGTGCTGAGGGCTGGCGTGGGCCTGGCTGTGGTGGAGGAGAGTGTGATGTGAGGACCCCACAGTTGCTGGGCTGCGGTGCTAACGGGGCTGAGCCGAGCGTGGGATACGTGGGGAAATCAGGCAGCATGGGGCTGTGCCTGCCTGACTGGCAGGAGTTGTAACAAGTGGGCCATGGCAGCTTGAGGGTGCCAGTGTCTGTTTTTCACCGTGTCCCTCTGTCTTGAAAGGCTGTAGTTTTGGCCAAGGAGACGGTTCCTGTGGAGATGCCACCTCTCACAGCTACCACAGAGGTGTTCCCGCACCGTGTTGCCACCTGTGTGGAGAAAAGGGTCCTGCAGCCGGGCAGCCCTGCTGAGGCCTCGCGGGGCCGGGACTGCATGCCTGTCCTGGGGGAGAGCTCTAGGACTATCCCAGTGGCCACCCCTCCCCTGGGCAGAGACAGTGAAAAGAGGGACTGGTCCAAGGATGACGTGGCTCTGGAAGCAGCAGCTGACGGTGAGTGGCTGTAGCCCAGGGGGTGACCTGGTTGGGAAGGTCTGTGTGCTCAGGACCTCTCCTTGGTCAGCCTGCAGCGCTGCCTCACCGTGCAAAGGAGGTAATGTCTGTCTCCATGGCTTTCCTTGCTCAGAGCCAGAGCCTTTTGTGAGCCTGACCTTTGTCAAGAATGACTCATACGAGAAGGGCAATGATCTGGTGGTAGTGCACGTCTATGTGAAGGAGATCCACAAGGAGACATCCAAGGTGTTGTTCCGGGAGCAAGACTTCACACTGGTGTTCCAGACGAGGTACAGGCACACCTCGGGACTGTGCCAGGCTGCTGCCGAGCTCCTGGCTGTGGCTGGGCTACTTGTT